CATCTAGCCTACCATCAAGCACATTTTCAACGCCATTGTATTGAATTCCGGTGACAAAGCCATCGGGGGTTGACAAAGTGACTCGAACAAGTCCATTATCAATCACTACCTGAAAATGTTTAGATACATTAATTCAACTACTATCAATTTTAATGCATGCAATGGTAGTTGAAACATGCAATTAAGTCCAATTAACTATACTAAATTTGTTTTTCAATTATACAACTGGCCGGTTAATTGATAATACGTAATGAATAGAGAATGATTTACCCATAATATTTTCTTATAATAAAAAAAATTCCCATAATTTTGATGCTCTTTTTATTCCATTAGTTGGGAGTGTAGTCAAATTTTAATTAGGTAAATTTTGGATATTGTGGGTAATACTCTGATGATAATGGAAGCTTACTTGCTCATTTTCCTTTATCAGCTTAACAGCTCGTGGTTGCTGTGTTGCATCTCCAAGATTCGTTCTTCTGCAAATGAATTGAAGACAAAATTGGTTAATCAGCGTGGTTGTTGTGTTCCATGACAATAGTACTATTGTCATGTGCTTTTTCAAAGTCTTTTGGTGCAACCACCTAAGTCCTTAAATTAATGAGAAAATCATCAATTACTTAACCACTAACGAAATAAAAATGACATAAAACCAAATTCATAGTTCAACTATTAAAGCACAAATTTACCGTTCAAATTAGGTTCGGTTGCAAAGCGTATTAGATGAGGGCTTACCTTTGCAATAGGAAATCTATCACTCCATAGTTATGGTTTTATGATATCCTTTGGGTCACAAACACACTTTTCTTTTAACAGTTTAAGGAGTAGCTACTCAAGGAATTTAATTGAGTCAAAAAGACACCATTGGTACCGCACCAGAGTAGAAAAATTGTTTCAAAAACAACCCCTTTCCTCTTGAGTCTTTACTGGAGCAGACACAATATGTTCACGTAATGAACAGAGGAATTAATACTGAAAAAGTAGGAAGACTTATAAAGCATTGAGGGACCAACTCTGATTCTTTTGAGGGTCACGGGTTACATTTTCCAGAGGATGCTCTGTATCCTTGAGGTTGAGGTGTGCATTGGCTAAACCCTTTTGCCTTTTGCCTTTTACACAAAAATAAGAAAAAGACTACCCTTTTTGTTTCCATTTGTAAATACTAAATCCCGAGTGGATTCTGGATATCTCAGCAAAGGACAAAGAAAACAAATACAACATACAAAATGGACAAAAACAAACATGAAGCAAGCGGCCGTATAAACTCTCTTATAACTAATATGCATTAAGTCTATTAACTCTCTCTGTTTCTCCCGTATATGCGGGTTTTCTTTATTTTTTTTATTTTTTTATGAGCTGTATATTGTATTTAATTATTTTTATTAATAAAAAATATTTTATGATTAACTGTTCTACATTTGTAAAAACATTAACCTTTTGTATAGTTTATTCTTCCCTTACTAAATAGAAAAACAAAAACTACACTATTTAAACTAAACAACTTAAATTATTAAATAATAAATAGAGATAAATTTTTTAATGTTGGAGGTCATCTGGTATTTAATAATTTTTGTTTTATAATATAATACTATAAGAGCTTAGATAAAAATAATAAAAAAATAAAACTCTGTTTCTATTCCTTCCCGAAACACAGAGAAGGTGAAAGAGGAGAAAGGTAAGGCAGAACCTGGGTGGAGTAATCTCAGGGCAAACAGAGAGCAAAAGCAGCAGCTCCACCGCCATTGTCATCCAAAAAACAACCAAATTCCTGTGGCATCTACTCACCACCTCCGCCATTTTCCCTGATTACCAAAACCTGCAATCCAAAAAACACAAACGATTACCATTTCAGAACCTGAAGAATGCCCAACATGCACATGAAACATAGAAGAAGAAAGGACATATTTCAACCTGAAGAAGAACTAACCATAAAAATAACCCCAAGAGCTTGAGACTCCAACTCATATCTCAAGTTCAACTCTTAAGTCTTTTTATATAACTCATAATATGTACCCAAAAAAAAAGAACTAACCATAAAAAAGGAAAAAAATTGATAAGCCCTTGGTTTTATCTTGTCTGAACGTGGTTATATTCGTTACTTATTGGTCCTTAATAGGTTTTGAAAACTTGCAGTTGTAATGAAAGCCAATGAGGGTTTATATAAGTCCTCATAAACGAAAATTTTCTTGCTTTCCCCGTCCCATAGTCATTAGGAGTATTTAATTTTGACAAAATTTTCTTGTTTCTTTAATTATTGGAAGTGTTAAGAGTGGATTGTTGTGTCTTTTAGGACAACTCATCTGGGTAACTTTGTCCTAGAGAAAGTATCACGTGTGACCTAAAGAACACAACTATTTCCATGATGTTTGTACCTAATCTTGGACAAATTTTGGTTCGAAAATCCAAATTGGGGTTTGGTCGCGGGTCACCAACAAGAGTTACGGTCTATATGGTCTCGTCGTTAGTGGTTATTTATTTATTTATTTTTAAACTTAATAATAGAAAAATAATTTGTGCATCTTGTAAAATTGTATATTTCGTTACACATTAATGATTTTTGTTTTCGTTATTTGTGTTGTTAAAATTAGTTATTTTTGTTATTTATGCCGTTAAACTTGATGGTTTCCGTTACACATTAACGGTTTTCGTTACATATTATGGTTTCCGTCAATGTATAACAAAATGTGTAACTGTGTAGGATATATATATATTATTGTCCTTAATAATAACTTATACAATAAAAATGGAAAACATCTTAAATTGATCGGAAAAACATTGTAATTTTTGCAATAATAATTACTTCTTGTTATAAAAAAAAAAAATTGAGCTTCAATCCAATGAATAATTAAAAAAGACAATATAAATTCATCGGGAAAACATCGTAATTTCAGTAAATTGAAACAAATTAATGGAAAGGGAATAGGAGAAAACTAACTTTAATACAGAACTTGTTCGGCTTGTTCTGCTACTATGACACTTGTTAAAGATGGTGCTGGTATATATAGATGCAGAAGAAATCCACAGAGCCTTTTTATTAGGAAAGCAAATCTAGGGAATCAAGATTTTATAGAAAATTCAATGCTAATAAAAGAAAATAATAACTAAAATAAATCAAACAGCCCTCAACATTTATTTGATAACCTTTTTGTGCCATTTTTTTATATAATTTTTACGTGTTATTAAATAAGTGGATGTATTCAATATCATGGGTTCTAAATGAATAAAAAAAATTAATAATTTAAATAACGTGTAAGATTGTATAAAAAAAATTGTCTCGAAATCGTTTTCCTTAGAAATATTATATATTGTTTTAACTTTTGATTCAAATAAAAAGGGTTCCCAACTTTTCAAAATTATAGAAGCTAATCTTACTATTAGTTACTTCTGTTAAGTTTATAATGGAAATCCTAATTGAAATTTGGAGAAACCCACATAAATTTGACATAATTTTTTTTAATTTTTATGGCCTTTAATTTTTTTTTCCCTAAAATTTGATTTTTAAACACTTTGATTTACTTATAAGTGAACTCAATGTGGTTATTGTTTTCGTTGAAAAAAAAAAACTCAATTTCAATTTGGTGATTTTGAGTTAGATTTTATGATAGATGTGCATATTTTGATGGTATTTTTTGTTTTTTAGAAATAGCGTTTAGCACTTTAATATAGATATATATATATATATAATATGTATAAGTTTAACAAGAGAAATAACATAGATTTTATGATAGATGTGCATATTTTGATGGTATTTTATGTTTTTTAGAAATAGCGTTTAGCACTTTAATATAGATATATATATATATATAATATGTATAAGTTTAACAAGAGAAATAACATAGATAATGACTTCAACTTTTAAAAATTTACAAATTAAGGATTTAAATTCTTTTTGTTTTTAACTAAAGATCTCAAATTTTCAATTTTTCTATTTAATGACTTCAATTCATCAATTTTAGTATACAAGGTTATGTCAGATGAAATGTTGACTTGTGCTTCTTAATTCCATTTAGTAGCCCATATTAGATGCTAATATGTCAAAAAATAAAAAAAAAAAGGTCATCATCAATGATGTGGACAAAAAAATAAAAAATTACCATTGGTGTGAGATTGACAACAGACCCAATAAAGGACAATAGACCCAATAAAAATCAATAGAGTCTTAGTTTTGTCTATATCACCGATGACTAGGTAATTTTTTTTTTTTATAAGTTGACACTTAATATGAGTCATTTTAATAGAATTAAAAACCTTAACATCAATATTCCATCTAATAAAGTCTTGTACGGTAAAACTACTAAATTTAAATTTTTGAATATGAAAATAGGAAAGTTGAGATTGATCCTTGATTAGAAATGAAAAGGTTTGGCTTCTTAATTAGTAAACTTTCAAAACTTACAGTATTTATGTGTACCATTTCTCTGCTTAAAAACTCATTAGAACTCATTTTTAAGAATGAAATTTTGTGTAGAATTTTTTTAAGCATGTGTTTTCCTATAATTTACGCAGATCATATTTTTGGTCTAACTAACCCACAAGTACTTGCATTTTTCAAACATGTGTTTATCAAGGCCTTGATCTAAAACTACTCCGTTTTGATTGGATCTGAAGCTTAGGAAAATTTATGGTTATAATGATGCATGGTAGGGATTTTAGTTGAGCATGGGGAATTAATGCAAGCATGATTTTTTTTTTTTTTTTGGATACAAGATGTCCTTTGCTTTTTCATATTTTTATTCATCAATAGACTAATATTCAAATTGGGATCTCTAAATTAAAAATTTAGGCTCTTATTAACTAATTGAGTGATTAGTTGATGAGTCACCCCTTTGGGGCATTAATTAAACCAAACATGAATAAGCATGCTTGCACCATTTATTTGTAAAGTTTTAAAAGTTGGAGTCATTATCTATGTTATTTCTCTTGTCAAACTCATGCATAGACTCTTACCGTTACCAAAATAATAAACTCGTTTATCTTTGTAATTGACGTTTTCTTGGAGTTTAATTAGGTTGAAATCAGCTCACACCCAACCACCATGAATTCTCATGGCATCAATGACGCACATCTTTCTGTGCCCACCGCTTGAAATCAGAGACGAAAAGAATTAACCAAAAGCAAAACAAGCTTTCCATCCTGCGACTACTCCCCCAATGCCTTGTACTACACTCCAACTTGAAAAACTTAGAAAGAGTCTCATGTTTTGTAGCTAACCAAAACATGAATAGCTTTTAATATTAAGGGGTCAACTTTTATTAGTATGTCTAGTTTAAAAGAATGGATGGAGAGGAAAGGTGGAAATTTCTCTATTTGATTAACAAAAAATTTGAAAGATAGTGGGGTTTATGGAAAGGAGGAGAAGGGAGGCTAATGGAGAAAAATGAAAGCTAAATCCGACGAACCGGAACAACGCAACTCGCTGGAGCTGCCGCGGGATGCAGCTGCGATTTTCTTCCGCCTTGGGGCCATAGAAGTACTGAACAGCGTGCAAAACGTCTGTTCTCTGTGGCGCAACATCTGCAAGGACCCCTCCATGTGGCTATATCCATCGATATGCGCCATCTGGGTGACTTACATGACATGAACTATGATCTCGAGAAAATGTGTATGCACGCCGTTGATTGCAGCAACGGTAAATTGGTGGATATCAATATTGGGCATTTTGATACCGATGAACTGCTAGCTTACATAGCTGATAAGTAATTTTTTTCGGTTTTGATAACACTTGAAGTTGCCTCCTTCCTCAATTCCATTTATTGGCAGTTAATCTTTCAGAATACCGTGTTAGGGTTTTATGATTTTTTTTTTTTTTTTTTTTTTGGCTTGTCTATGTAGAGGAGAGGAAAGCTATTTTCTTTTTCTTGGCTTCTCTGTGTTATGGTTTTTGATTTATTTATTTTTTTTAAAGATACATGTACGTAAACTTTCTTTTAAGAACTGTGAAGTGGTTGACTAGTTGATTGGTGGTGAGATATTTTCTTCTTGACATGGTTCCACGTGCCTTTGGAATCCCATGCAAACTAAGAGAACTACCACCACCACGCGCACCTACCTCGCGTTGCCTGCTCAACAATATGCAAAAATAAATGTCCATACTTTCCTCTCTTTTTTTTTTTGACGTTCAATAAATGTCATACTATTACTACCTTAAACAAATTAAATAATATACTCACATATATGGTACATAAATAGTGTAGGAGGGTATGTTCAAAAAAAAAAAAAATAGTGTAGGAGGGTGTTGGGTGTAGCTTTAGGAGAAAATGTTTTTCTTTATAATTTTTTTTTAAACAATTTACAATTTAGGAATTGGGAAGGAAAATTGTTGAAGGCATTGGTGCTTTTCAAAACTCCAACCAACTAAATCAAATACTTTAATGTTTGAGAGTAAATATTTGGACTCGAAAATTTGATTCTTTTTTTTTTACAAATTTAATTTTGAAAACTTATTGAAAGTAATTTAAAAATTAACTTTTAAACTGAATAATTGATTTTTAGGTTAATTTTTAAAAAGTTAAGACGTATAACTTCCTTAAAATTTACTTAAAAATGAATTTTGAATTTTTTTAACAAATTTTTAAATTTATGACGTACTAGGTGAGCTAATAGTGTGGTGCTGGATGTTGTGATGGTTTTTTTGTACCTTTTTTTATTTTTTTTTATTTTTAATGTTAAAAGCATATTCTACGTATCAAATGGGTATATAAATATTTAAGAAAATTAAATTTTTCTTGAGTGAAAATAAATCTTAAATTTTAAATTTTAAATTTAAATTTATCTTATAAGATAATTTATTTTTTTTTTTTTTTAATGTTAAAAGCATATTCTACGTATCAAATGCGTATATAAATATTTAAGAAAATTAAATTTTTCTTGAGTGAAAATAAATCTTAAATTTTAAATTTTAAATTTAAATCTATCTTATAAGATAATATTTATTTTTTACTTTTTAACCATCAATCTTGTTTTTTTTTAACATATTTTGCAAGAAACGGGTTTCAAATCCTGTTCGAAGGAATGCATCGATAGTTAATGTCATTAGGTTTCAAGCGCCAGGTGCTAACCATCAATCTCGTTTATTTATGAATCTAACAAAAAAAAAATTGTTACTTTTTTGGTAAAGTTTAATAAACTTTATCATTTTTAAATACTTTTAATCAAGAACGGAACCATAACTGCTATTGTGTAGATCTTTTATTAGAAAGGGCGTATATTGTCTTTTTTTTTTTTTTAACTAATAGTGCATAAAATTAAAAGTTCTTATGTATTATTTTTATTTTAATGAGTAAAGTTTACAATTATAAGGTTTTAAAATTATAATTTTTTTTAAAAGATAGCGTTTACACCTATTCCCTCTTAAGAATAGCTCCCTCCTGCTTGTAATCAAGGTAATTAGTCAAAGTTTGAAATTCATAGCTGGATTATGTAAAGAGTTAACACACTAATTTTCTATTATACCAAGATAAAACGTTTAAATTATGAAAAACTAGCATGATGCTTTATTTCTTCCTTTACAACATATCATGACTTGATTTTTTTCCCTATAAATTTCAGTATTTTTTATTAAGTTGTAAATAAGATGAGTTACTCATAAATTATTTATTTTGAATTCAATTGATAATCGACCTTAAATTTAATTTTAGACCCGAAAATATTTTCAAATTAGAGTTCAAATAGGAATGAATACTTGATAATTACCTAAGCTGAACTCAAATTTAATTAAGAAATTAGTTATAAATTTAATTACTAAATTATTATTAATATAATTTTTTTTTCTAAAACTCGCTAAAGCACTTTTGAACTAAAACTAGAATGAGTCCATTATTATAATTTCAAGCTTCGCTTTAGTACTAAATTATATATCTTGAGCATTGCCTATTTTCAAAAAAAAAATATATATATATATATATACATATCTTGAGTTGACT